ATAGGGAGATAATATTAGCAATTGTTTGTGCTGTTCTAATGGATTATTTTTGTTGTTGATCACAGAATCCAGAGGATCAAAAAGATTGTTGATTGTCACTCCTCTGCCTACCATACTTAGCTGATCAAATTGACCAGAATGTTGTCCCCATGGAAAATGGAGATGATCAATGCTTCAAAAGTATATTGGATATCTTTGCCCTTATTTCAAAGAGGCATATATAAGACTTTACTGAGGGGGAAATCTGGACTCTGTAAATATGGTCCTGTCTCAAATATTTTATTCTTGGATAAGACAATCAAGAAAAGGGTGTCTTCACAATTCCAAATGCAACTGATTATCTGGACCTATTTCAACCAAAGTTTGATGGCTTTGGTGATCACCAAGGTCAAACATTACATGGTGACAGTTGTAATTCTGTTAATTTTTCTGGACCTCTTGGCCATGTTCAATACAATCAACCAGAGTACTCTTCTTGGCCATTTAATGATCTTGGTAGAAATGTTTTGCAAAGGTTCCAGTCCTTCCAAATGGATTGCCTATGGAAAATGGTGCTGGAGAAGTGCCATTTTCACATAGCCACTATGTATCACAGGGGAAGGAGTGGGCTTCAAAATTTTTTGCAAGGGGTTATCTGCCCGGTTGCTCGGTGGATGTGGCCATGGTGGGCGTGGCCTAGTTGGCCTCCTGCACCATGGCAGGGGAGGGAAATTTTTGCCCTCCCAGAGCTCTGGAGACTTTCCCTGAGCCTCTGGGAGTGCGTAAATAGCTTCTCCAGGCTCCGACTGGAAACAGATGCTTACCTACCCCCCCTCCCGGGTGGGGACTCAAGGGAGGGGAGGGGCAGGGTGGGCAGGGCCAGGCAGGAGTGGGATTTGGGGATTCTCCAAAAAGTACAGAATCTTATCTAGAGGTTTTCCCGAAACCCTGTGAACACCAAGTAGCCAATCCCTCCATAGGAGTATTGTCCCACCTTATCCCCTATGCTACCCAGATTATTTGCCATTGATGATCTTCCATGTTACATAAACATGAAACTATGGAGGAGATTATTTGGAGCTTTGGAAAGGGGTGTCCTTAATGTCGCCCTAGTCGTCACTTATAAAGCCCTACATGGTATTGGACCTGGGTACTTGAGAGACCGCCTTCTGCC